GGGTGCAGAGACAGCCACGACCTCCTTGCAACAAACCCACGGGGAAAAATTCTCAACTTGGGGTGCCCGTGGCGGGTGCAGAGACAGCCACGACCTCCTCGTGACAAACCCACGGGGAAAAATTCTCAACTTGGGGTGCCCGTGGTGGGTGCAGAGACAGCCACAACCTCCTTGCAACAAACCCACGGGGAAAAATTCTCAACTTGGGGTGCCCGTGGTGGGTGCAGAGACAGCCACGACCTCCTTGCGACAAACCCACGGGGAAAAATCTCAACTTGGGGTGCCCGGGGCGGGTGCAGAGACAGCCACGACCTCCTCCCAACAAATCCACGGGGAAAAATTCTCAACTTGGGGTGCCCGGGGCGGGTGCAGAGACAGCCACGACCTCCTCGTGACAAACCCACGGGGAAAAATTCTCAACTTGGGGTGCCCGTGGTGGGTGCAGAGACAGCCACGACCTCCTTGCGACAAACCCACGGGGAAAAATTCTCAACTTGGGGTGCCCGTGGCGGGTGCAGAGACAGCCATGACCTCCTTGCGACAAACCCACGGGGAAAAATTCTCAACTTGGGGTGCCCGTGGTGGGTGCAGAGACAGCCACGACCTCCTTGCGACAAACCCACGGGGAAAAATTCTCAACTTGGGGTGCCCGTGATGGGTGCAGAGACAGCCACGACCTCCTCGTGACAAACCCACAGGGAAAAATTCTCAACTTGGGGTGCCCGGGGTGGGTGCAGAGACAGCCACGACCTTCTTGCAACAAACCCACAGGGAAAAATTCTCAACCTCGGGTGCCCATGGTGGGTGCAGAAACAGCCACGACCTCCTTGCAACAAACCCACGGGGAAAAATTCTCAACTTGGGGTGCCCGTGGTGGGTGCAGAGACAGCCACGACCTCCTTGCAACAAACCCACGGGGAAAAATTCTCAACCTGGGGTGCCCGTGGTGGGTGCAGAGACAGCCACGACCTCCTCGTGACAAACCCACGGGGAAAAATTCTCAACTTGAGGTGCCCGTGGCGGGTGCAGAGACAGCCACGACCTCCTCGTGACAAACCCACGGGGAAAAATTCTCAACTTGGGGTGCCCATGGTGGGTGCAGAAACAGCCACGACCTCCTTGCAACAAACCCACGGGGAAAAATTCTCAACTTGGGGTGCCCGTGGCGGGTGCAGAGACAGCCACGACCTCCTCGTGACAAACCCACAGGGAAAAATTCTCAACCCGGGGTGCCCGTGGCGGGTGCAGAGACAGCCATGACCTCCTTGCAACAAACCCACGGGGAAAAATTCTCAACTTGGGGTGCCCGGGGTGGGTGCAGAGATAGCCACGACCTTCTTGCAACAAACCCACAGGGAAAAATTCTCAACCTCGGGTGCCCATGGTGGGTGCAGAGACAGCCATGACCTCCTTGCAACAAACCCACAGGGAAAAATTCTCAACTTGGGGTGCCCGTGGTGGGTGCAGAGATAGCCACGACCCTCGTGACAAACCCATGGGGAAAAATTATCAACTTGGGGTGCCCATGGCGGGTGCAGAGACAGCCACGACCTCCTTGCGACAAACCCACGGGGAAAAGCAGCTCCCCGCAGCCAGCACAAGGAGAAATAACCCCGAGCCCGGCTCCTGCGGCGGCCGAGGGCTGGCAGGCACGGGCGAGCTCCCCTCCTTTGCGCCTGCGGTTTTTTGCAAAGCCCACGGAGTTCCCCAAATTCCTGCAAATCTCTCCCAATAAGCAGCCGGGATCCTCGTGGCCCCGGCACTCGCAGTCGCCAAACCGCAGAGCAACCGAAGCTGCTCCGGAGCGTCCCGCTGCCGAAACCACGCCGGGAAGCATCCAAGCAGCAAAACCCCCTGCTCCAGGCCGCTCGGCGCGTGCACACACACGCCACGCGCGTGCACACACACGCGCCACGCGCGTGCCTGCGGCTCTCCTGCCTCCCACGGCGCGCACGCGCACGCGCGCAAGCGTGAGCCTGGTGAGCGTTCACAGACACGCGTGCGCGCGGCAGCGCACCAGCGCGCGGCCACCCCAGGCACGGCTGGACCCCCAGGCACACACACGTGCGCACGCAGACACGCGTGTGCACCCAGCAGAGCCACGGAGCCCCAAATTAGCGCCCGGCAGCGCTCGGGGGAGAACGAACCATCCCCAAAGGGGCTGCTCCCTCCTGCTGTCGTGTTTTGGGGACACGCTGTCACCCTGGCTGCTGTCCCCACCACTGTTTCAAGGACAGAAGGCTTGCAAAAACCCCACGGTCTTGCCCCAAAACTCCTTGCAGGCCCTTCTGCTCCGGCTGCTGCACCGGCCCCGTGCACGGTTCACGCCTGGCACACGGGCCCACGGGTGTGCGAGGTGCTAAAAAGCTAAAGGGCATCGAAGGAAAGCGGAGAGACGGTTGCATGAGGGCGAGCTGTGGAAACAGCTCAGTGCCTTGGAGAAGCACAGGGAGAGAAATGCCTTCAGGCTACTAAATATTCCTCTATTTATATAAATGCATACACCTACGCACGCTGCACGCAGGCACGCACGCCCCTGCCCGCCCTGCACCCTTGCAGTGCAGCCCACGCACACGTGCCCTGAGCTGGGCACACACACACACACACACACACAGACGTGTTCACATGGTTTTTTCCACGACGGGGAGCACGGGCAGCCCCTTCCCAGCTCGCTCCATGGGCTCTGGAGGAGATAATCCAGCCCTGATGGAAGCCACTGCCGTGCAGGGATGAAGGAAGGATGGGACCCTGGCTCTCTGCTCCCCGAGAATGATTTTTCATGTGACATGTCCCCCAGGAGCCTTGCAGAGGTGCAGCCGGGCATGCACCCCGCTGCACAGCACCCTGCTGCATCCTTCTGCACTGCACCCCTCTGCGCATCACCCCTCTGTGCTGCACCCCGCTGCACAGCACCCCGCTGCACCCCTCTGCACTGCACCCCTCTGCAAGGCACCCCGCTGCACCCCTCTGCACTGCACCCCTCTGCACATCACCCCTCTGTGCTGCATCCCGCTGCACTGCACCCCGCTGCACCCCTCTGCACTGCGCCCCTCTGCACAGCACCCTGCTGCACAGCACCCCTCTGCACAGCACCCCGCTGCACCCCTCTGCACTGCGCCCCTCTGCACATCACCCTGCTGCACAGCACCCCTCTGCACAGCACCCCGCTGCATCCTTCTGCACTGCACCCCTCTGCACTGCACCCCTCTGCAAAGCACCCCTCTGCACAGCACCCCGCTGCACCCCTCTGCACTGCACCCCTCTGCAAAGCACCCCACTGCATCCCTCTGCACTGCACCCCTCTGCAAAGCACCCCACTGCACAGCACCCCACTGCACCCCTCCATGCTGCACCCCTCTGCAAAGCACCCCTCTGCACAGCACCCCGCTGCACCCCTCTGCACAGCACCCCTCTGTGCTGCACCTCACTGCACAGCACCCTGCTGCACCCCTCTGCACAGCACCCCGCTGCACCCCTCTGTGCTGCACCCCTCTGCACTGCACCCCGCTGCACAGCACCCCGCTGCACCCCTCTGCACAGCACCCCGCTGCACCCCTCTGTGCTGCACCCCTCTGCACAGCACCCCACTGCACTGCACCCTGCTGCACTGCACCCCTCTGCACAGCACCCCTCTGCACAGCACCCCATCACGGCTGCCAGGACCCGCTCCCGGGTGCAGCTCTGCACCATGAGCACGCACAGGCACCTGCAGCCTTGCTGCGCACTCAAAATCCCCTCTCCCCCCCCCGCTCCCCTTTTGGGCTCACTTGCAGCCACGGTGACGCTGCAAAGCAGACGCGCGCGCCCCTTCCGCACGCCCGCTTCCACCATCCTTGGCAATCCAACTTTTTTGCAGCTTTGTGCACAAAAACAAGAGGCTGAACGCAACGTTTTGCAGGACACCTCAGCTTGGTCTCCAAGCTGGAAGTGCTGCTGCTGATTTGGACCAAGCTTTGAGCCCCCGGGCATGGCCGCTCACCTCCCCAGGGTTTTATTTTCACGGGGGAAACGGGGCAGATGCCAAGCGTGGGGTTCAGCACGCGACTGGATGCACAGTGCCATCCCAAACCTCCAGCCCTGCAACAGCCGACGGCTGGAGCATCTCTTCCAGCATTTTGGAAAAGGTGAAAACCAAGCCCTGGGCTGGGAAAACTGCTGCAGGGGAAGGATTTGGGGCAGGATGGGAGCAGGGGACGGCGGGGAACAGCCAGCACTCAGCTCCGGCATGAGTCTGAGGATTTTGTAGCCCAGGCACAGGGCCACGGGGTCCCGCGGGCGGCAGCTTTTTGGTGGCTCGGGTTTGCTCCGTGGCCCCCCAGGGAGGTGCTGGCTGCAGGCACAGACCCGCTTTGGGGGCTGGGGCTGCTGCTCTCCCCTCCACCGGCATCCTCGGAGCGCGAGTTTTTGGGGCAACACCACTCGAAACGGAGGGTGCTCATTTCCTTGGCCGTTTCTGCCGCGCATCCAGGAGTGCCAAGGGTGGAAAAGCGGCCGCCCTCAATGCAAATATGAGCACGGAGATGGGGTGCAAGTCAGATGCCCGTCTGTAGGTGTGGTTCGGATGCCCACATGAAATCATTTGGCTCATTAGCCACATCCTAACGAGCCCTGCCCGGCCTCCCGCTGCTGCTGGAGCAGCTCAGGGCTGGGTTCCCCGGGCGCGGGGCCAGGCAGGGATCAGGGTTCAAACACTAAAGCTCAGGTCTGTGCACGCAGGCGGCTGGGATTTAACCCGGACCTTGCAAAAAAGCCAAGATCAGAGTCCTAACCTTGGCCTTGGTGCCTTTTTAGTGGGTGAGGAGGGAGGTCAGGGATGGAGAGAAAGGGAGTGTGCGTCCCCAGGAGCCAGAAAACTGCTGCCAGGCTTGCGAGAGAGGATATTAAAAGCAGACTGCCTTGAAACCACCCCGGCTCTGTTGCTGAAAACATCCTGTTTCCGCAGCTCCGAGGTGGTTCACGGTATTTTTGGCAGTTTCCTGATTTTTCTAACCCCTTTTGCACAGAGCGCGTTGCGAGGCGCAGGACACCTGCCCAAGCCGGCTGCGGAATGATGCCCCGGGGGGGAGCTGCCTCCCCAAAACCACCAGGTTCACGGGCTGGGGACACCAGCATGTTTTTTTGGGGGGGGGGGGGGTTGGTTTCCCTTGCCAGCCCTGCCGGGAAGCACCGTGGGGTGGGCGAGTGGGGGGTTGCACGCACCAGCGTGGTTTTGTGCCTGTTTGCACGCGGACGACACTTTCCACGGAGGCTTTGGGGAGTTTTCCTCCTGGCCCCGGGGGGGGGGGGGGGGGGGGGAAGGAGCATCCCCGCTCTGCGTCGCCGGCCCTGGGATGAAGGGATGGTGGTGCTGAAGGTTAAACTTTTAGAATAATGTAGAAATAATTATGCTTAGATCGAGAAAGATATTCTGTATATATGTTAAAGGCAAGGGCATCCCTCATCAGCAGAACAAGTAGATGGCCACCTTTGAGCCAGGACGTCGGGAGCCCTTAGACCTTGAAGAGGGCACGTCGCCAACTCGGCAAGCAAACTCAAGATCCCTGTATCCTTCGCTGAACTACCCTCATCGTAATACTAAAAATCACGTCTGCGGGTCAAAAAGACCCTGGCCCAGGTGAAGACCCTTCCCCTGAGCCTGCGCAGTAGCAGGAGAGTTGTGCCAGCAGTGTTAGAATTGTCTGTAAATCGCTAACCAATCGTCCCAAAGAGGATGGACGCGGCAAATCATTAACCCTGCAGGTTTTGTGTATAAATAAAGCCTTGTTCGGTGGGCTTGATCTGGGGGGTCGTTGCGCCAGCCTGAAAGAAAATTCGCGATGTCTCTCCTAAGTGGGTGACAATCGACTTGTTGTGGCCGGGGTGACGAATCCGCTTTTCGGACAGCACTGGCAGCGGAGGGCACGGGCCAGGGGCACAACTTCCCCGTCACCCTTGTGCAGACAGCGTGGTGAAAAGTGGTTTTTTTTTTTGGGGGGGGAGGGTAGGGTGGGGAGCGGGTGGGGTATCACAGCTCCACCTCCCTCTCCGAAGAGCATCGGGTGTGGAGGTGAAGTGGCCACCCCCACGCTCATCTGCGCCGGGTGGGACCTCACCGTGGGGTCGTCACCGTGGCCGTGGGAGGACAGGGATGGCAGCAAGTGATGTTTCTCTTCCAGGGTCGTGGCCGGCTCTCCCCAGCCCAAGGAGCAGGAGGGAGCGAATCTACTTGAGTAAGTTCGGGGCTTTTCCGTGCACCTTCCCCGCTGACGGGAGGCGAGGGATGCCGGGCAGAAGGTCTCAGCTCTGGCAAGCTGGTGTCTGGTCTCCAGTAGCACAAAGTGGGATTTTTTCCATGGGAAAACCAAACGCTCCACCATCAAGGGTTCCCGTGAATACCCAGTCCTGGTCCTCTGAGGACCATCACCTCCAACCTTGAGGTTTCAGCCACAGATACCTGAAGCTGAGGACCATCAAGGTGGTCTCCCTGGGCTACACGTGGCTCCCCAGCTGGATGGGGTCTCCTCCCCCTCTTGCAAGACCTCCCCGTGCCTGTGGTTTTCCTTGATGAGATAAGACCATTCCGGGCACCCGCACTCGGCACAACCGGCTCCAGACCTGGTGAATCAGCTACATCCAAAGCCAGAGGCTTGGCTTAAAGTTCCAGGCATGCAGAAAGCAATAACGAAAGGGATGATTTTTCTCATCAGTTTGCCTGTCTTTTCCAAGATTGCGGTCCGCGACGCGGGGGGTTAGGTGGTTTTACTGGGGTCTTACTGAAAGCTGAAATCCTGCCAGTCACGGGACTCCCGGAGGTGGGGCTTCGAAGATGCTTCGAAGCTCTCCCCGCCATCAGCCGATGCCATAATGTTACTGTTATTGCTGGAGCTGCTTTCGGGTGAGCAGCTGTAGCTCAGCCCAGGACAAGAGCGCCTGTCCCAAGCTCTTTGCACAATTCATGGCATCCCTCGCGCAGGGGTTCGCGGGCCAACAACAACATTAAAACAATGTAATGCAAGAAATCAGTGGGAGAGGCTTCAAAATTCCAGCAAAACCTTCTCTGTCCCTTCCCTAGCCCAGGAAAAAAAAAAAAAAAAAAAAAAAAAACAAAAAACCAAACTAAATCCACCCTTTGCAAAAGACACAGGCTGCCTTCACGGTGCTGGCGTTACCACAGCTGGAGTTAAACATGAAATCCATCACTCCCCCCCCCCCCCCCAACATGCTGCCTGCAGCAGGGCACCAAAAATCATCCCAAAGGGATGGGGGGGGGGGGGGGGGGGGGCAGAGCTCAGCCCTGCTCACCAGCTAGTGCAGATTTGGGGCTGCAAAAGCGGGGGACGGGGAGCTCATATCCTGCCCCCCCCCCCCCCCCCCCCGCTCCAGCCCCACCATGGATGCTGGGAAGGAGGGAAGCGAGGAGCTGGCCCTTGGTGGTGGCATTTCCCACCCACGCCCGCTGCGGCACCCATCCAAGCCCCCCCCCCCCCAACCCAGCAGAGCCCCACAAGAGGGTGGTACGGGTGCAAGGAGGGGGTACAGGGACCGTGGGTTAAAAACCAGGCATCTTCCCAAAATCCTGCCAGCACGACAGGGTGGAAAACAAGCTGGCGGCAACGCGGACCACATGGGACGTGTGTACGCAGGGATGAGCTGGGGCTGGGAGCAATTACAGGCATTTGCGAGCAGCTTTCCCGTCCCTGCGCTCCCCAAAAACCCGGAGAGGGGAGGCAGGAGCCTCACCGGCACGTGCGGGATGTGCTGGGCACGGGTAACGCCCTGCCTGCATCCCCCCCATCGCTGCTGGAGCCGGGGCTCGTCCTTACAGCTCCCCCCCCCCCCGCAAAACCAGGGGGGTTGGTTGCAAAGCCAGCAGCCACGACTTAGCGATGGGAACGATCCAAGCCCCAGACATGGGGCTCCCCAGCCTCTCCTCGGCCTCTCCGTCCCCAGCACGTGATGCTCAGACCCCGCAGCGACTCCAGCCTCAAAGCTGAAATCAAAACCGCTCCAGACGTACAGTTTGGAGCCGGTACGGGCTCGTGTCGTTGTCCCCAAGGAGATGGAAGCGGGGCGCGGCGGCTGCAAACCGAGGCAGGCAGCATCTCTCCGGGCCCCGCTTCTGCCGGATCCCATCTCTTCCTCCCCCGGGGTGGCACGGCAAAACAGAGGCAGCAGAAACATGGTTCTTTGGCCACGGCCAGACCCGGTTCTCTGAGCTCCTGCACAGGGGAGCATCACCCTAAAGTAACCGCTGCCCCATACTGGGAAGACCAGGGCTCGGCCCTTACCTGCGAGGATGAAGACTCCGACGAGGATGAGGAAGACAAGGAGGTAGAGCCCCACCACAGCGTACTTCAGTGCCGCCAAGGAGCCGAGCCGGCTGCAGCATCCTGCTGCCTTCATCCTCCGCCCGGGACCTGGGGGACAGAGCGGGCTGTCAGGGAGAGCATCGTGCCCCCCCCAACCCTCCTGGGCTCCGTCTCCCACCGGGAGAAAATATTGCAAATATCATTTCGGCAATGCCTCGTGGGTGCAGGCCCAGCTCTGCGTGCCCCGGTGTCGATCCGCGCGGTTTTCCCCGCGTCGGGACCGTCGCCGGGGGCACAAGCCCGCGCTCCCGGGGCACCGTCAGCGATGCAGTGGGTCCTGATCCTGCCCACGCCGGTGCTGCGGGGCTGGGTTGGGGGCTGGCAGCCCAGTTTTAGCAGGCACGCATCTCCCCCTCCTGCACGGGCAGAGCTGGGGGTGCAAAGGGCCCGGTGGGGCAGGGAAAGATCAGCATCACCCCCCTTTCTGAGCTGTCACCCCTCCAGCTCCCACGCTGCGTCCCCAGCCCCCGCCTTCCCCGCCTGCAGCCCGGGCAGGAGGCAGCAGTAAGGGGCTGGAGGAAGACGGGACAAAGAGGTGATGGTTTTAAACTAAAAGAAGGGAGATTCAGTTATAAAGAAGAAATTTTTTACACTGAGGGTGGTGAGACACTGGCCCAGGGTGCCCAGAGAGGTGGTGGTTGCCCCATCCCTGGAAACATTCAAGGCCAGGTTGGATGGAGCTTTGAGCAGCCTGATGTGGTCGGGGATGTCCCTGCTCGTGGCAGGGGGGGTTGAACTAGATGGTCTTTAAAGGTCCCTTCCCACCCAAACCAATCTGTGATTCCAGGGTGCCTGGACCCCGACATCCCGGCCATCGCTACCCGCGACCCAGCTCCTCTCGGACGCTGCCACAAGCCCTGAGCAGCAAGAGCTGTGTGCGAAGGAGGTGGGGTTTGCACGAATAAAATAGCCAGGAGGAAAATGCAAGGGACGACGAGGAAAGGCTCCCCGTGCTGTGAACGCAGCGTCAGGGCAAAATCATCTGGTTTTGGGCTTTGCACTTGTTCAGAGCTGGAGCTCATGTTGAAAGCGGGGAGGTGGGAGCCGGAGCCTGATCTGGACACAGAGCCCACCTCTCTCTCTGTGTCCCCAGCCCCGAGGCTGCAGTAATGCTTCCACCCGAAGCCTTGGCTCTCCGGGCGACCCCGTGCTGCTGGGTCGGGGTGCGGGGCGTTGGGTGCCTGCATTTTTGTGTTGGACCCTTGCAGAAACACGAAGGTTCTGAGAGCAGCTGAGAACCAGCAACTTCATACCAGGGCAACCAGCACCACCCGGTTTTGCCCCTTGCCAGATCCGAGATGCCTCCGAGGAGACGCCCAACAAAAAGTGGGGGAAGAGCCCAAAACTCCCGCAGCCCACCCCACCCCTTGACATGTGGGTGGCTCCATCCCATTGTCTTCTGCCCTTTAAGCCCCGGGGCAGGAGCTCAGCTCCCTGGGGGACCAAACTGGCCCTTGGGGTGCCAGAGATGGGGGGAGGAGGTCCAAGGCGTTTGGGGGTGTCCCTAGCCTGGCAGGGACCCTTCCCCACCGCACCCTTGCCCTTCCCCAGCTGATGGTCTGTGTGTCTGTCCTGCCGGAGGACAGGGAGCTTTGCAAAAGCCTCCAGCCAGCAAAGGGTTACGCTGGGTGTATCGCTTCACTCAGCCCCATTTTGGGGCTCCAGAAGGAGAAAACGCTGAGGTCAGGCTCCGTGACACCCAGAGGGGATCCCGCAGGGACGTGGGGTGCACGGGGCTCCCCAGCTCAGGTGCGAAAGGCGGTGCCTCTCCCCCGGGACCCCTCCATCTGCGGTTCATTACCCGCATGCGGTTCCCATTTGCCGTCACCGGCCAAACAAATGGAGCCGAGGGTTTCAGAATGAGGAAATCTGCAATATTTTTCTGACATTAACACTTATATCAGGTCCTGGGAGACTCCAGGAGGAGCTGGCCCGGGGCCCTGAACCACCCACTCCTCCTCGCTGCTCTCAGAAGAGCAGGAGGGACCGCAGCTGCGTAAGCAGGGTTTTCACAACAGCCCGCTCCGAGGAGCCCACGGGCGGGCTCCGGCCAGTAACCAAGGGGAAAAGCAAATATTTCTTCCCCCTGCCCATGCCCAGGGGAGCTGGAGCTGTGACCCGCCCGGTTAATGGGGGTGCCGAAGGTGGGAGGCTGAAAACAGCCAGGACTTGTCATCCCCCAAGCCCTGGGGGGGCCCGGGGCTGCTGTCCGGGGGGTCATGGCAAGCAGCAGGCTGCTGCCCCCGTCCTCAGCCTCCCGCCGAGCGTTTTCCCTGAGCCCAGGGGGGACTCGGGTGGCCCCATCCTCATGATGAAGCTCTCAGGGTTGACCTTGCCCCCGCCCTGTGCAGCTGCAGCCCAGGCACAGCCCCACAAGCAACCTCTCCCCTGGGAATGGGGTTTCTCGGAGGGTTCCCCCCCCCGTGCGAGTTATGGATGAGCAGATTTGCCCCGAGAGATCCAGGGGCAAGCTGCTACAAAAATATGGAAGCCAGGGAGATACCTTAAACCCTCCCTGCCGTTGTCCCACTCCAGGGCAAGGTCTTTGCTGAGAATGGTGGCCTCGGTGGTGGAGGACACCAAGGCTTCCCCCCCACCTCTTCCAGCATCGCTGCCTCCAGGCCCCCACCACCCCCCTGCCCCGTTTGCAGTGTGGCAGAGCATGGGGACAGCCCCTGGGCAGGATGTGCTCCCCCCCCCCTCTCTGCTACGGGAAGGTGGGGCGGGCGCTGGGTCCGAAAAGCCGGCGGCAGGAAGGTGGGCAGGGGGCAGGAGCGGAGGAAGGGGGGACCCTCCCGGGGCGACGTCAGGTTTGGGGAACGGCATCGAGATTCAGGTGGCACCTGGATGGGAAACCCACCCTCTGGATTCAAAGCTGCCCCCACCCCAAGGGCTGGAGGGCAGGAGAAGACACCCACGCAGCAATGCTGCATCTCCTTGTGCAATAACCACCACGAGCCGCCTGCACCCCGCGAGCATCCAGAAGTCATTTATGCGGGGCTGGATGTACCCCACACCCGTCACACCCTGGGGATGTCCCACGTGCCTAAAACCCAGAAGGTGACTCCCCCTGTCACCCCGACCCCACGCTTGGGGGGGCAGGGGGGGCAGCAGTGCTGGGAAGCCCACTCAGAACGAGACCAGTTTCCCCAGCAGCCCCACAGGTCTCCAAGCAAAACTGCCAGCAAAGGGGACTTCACATCTCTGCTTGAGCACCCAACGCTGCCACCCTGGCTTTTCCCACCCCGGATGGGAAAAAATTCATCAGGGCTGATTGCCCTGGGTCTGGTGAAACCTGGACAGCATTTCATGGGGCAAGAGTGAAGGTAAGAAAGAGCTCAGCAAGTCCACAGGGGAGAGAGAGGCCAGCTAAGATGCACGGGAGATGCAAGAAGGTCCTGCCGTGATCTGCTGCCTGGCCCCGCTGCAGCCACCCCCACTGCAGAGCACCTCTGGACAAGATCACATGCAAGAGAGCCAGAGGTTTGGAGAATTAAAAAAAAAAAAAAAAAAAAAAAAAAAATTTAAAAATAAACCTTTAGCAAGCAAAGTGACTTTCCTTGGAGCACAGCTCTGGTCAGCAGCCGAACTGAATGAGATTCTGGGCATCCTGAGAGGCTCGTGGTGCCCTGGCTCTGTCATCCCC